ATCCACTCACCTCAGCCTCCCAAAGGCGCGAGATTACAGGCTGAGCCACCGAGCCCAGCAATATTACATTTAATATGTGCAACAACCACACAAGATTGGTTTTAGTACCTTTGCTCTACAGATTGCAAAACTAAGCTCAGAAAGGTTAAGTCACTTGCCCAGGGTCACAGAGCAATACAAGAAGGTGCCAAGAATCAAGGCCCCACTAAGACTATCACAGCAGTGCTTCCAGCCCCCACACTCTTGGCTCACTAGTCTGGAATCAAACAAGCATGGAGTTCCATGATCCTGTCTCCTAATGATCTATCAAATCGATCCCCACCTCTCCTCCCTGCTGCCATATTTTCCATGAGGATCAGCCTCCAAATTGGGGTTTCTGCCTCCAGATTTGCCCCCCACCATTAATCCTCTGCTCAGCTGCTAGAGGGATCATCCTAAATCAGAGCCCCGGTGACAGCTCTTTTCTCTGAAATGCCCCATGTTGCCCAGTGTTTTCAGGACAGAGTCCTGGCTTACAAGGCGAGGCATACATGGGAGGGTCTTCAAGACCCAGCTTCTACCTACAGTGTCACCTCCAACCCTACCCCAGCCTTTAAGCTCTCACCTCATGGAGCTGTGGGGCCATGTTCTCTCATGCCTGCACTTTGCACGTCGTATCATTCCTCCTGGAAAAACAGAAAAACCCTTTCTCCCCTCCCGTGTCCTCTGATCCAGTAACCCTCAGATCCGGGGCAGAAATAGCACTAACCGCTGATCTGCAGCATCCTGTTTTACTTACCTGCCCCATGAGATCCTGAGCTCCTTGAGAGCAAGGATTGTGTTTGTTGTTGTTTTAATTTTTTTTTTTTTTTTGAGTTGGAGTCTCAGTCTGTTGACTGGGCCGGAGTGCAGTGGCATGCTCATGGCCACCGCAGCCTCAACCTGCTGGGCTCAGGTGATCTTTCTGCCTTAGCTTTCCAAGTAGCAGGAACTACGTCTGGCTAATTACCATGTCTGGCTAATTTTTCTTTATCATAGAGACAAGATCTCGCCAAGTTGCCCAGGCTGGACTCGAACTCCTGGGCTCAGGCAATCTTCTAGCCTTTGCATCCCAAAGTATTGGGATGACAGGCATGAGCCACTGCACCTGGCTGTTTTTAATGTTATTGTTCTTGTTATTATTTTAGAACTAGGGTCTTGCTATATTGCCCAGGCTGGTCTCTAACTTCTGGCCCCCAATGTTCCTTCCAAAGTACTGGGGTTACAGGCATGAGCCACTGCCCAGGCCAGGGACTGTGTTTTATGCATCTTTTGTCTCCTGACTAGTGCTTGGCATATGAGAGGTGGCCAGAAAGTGTGGAGACCTCCTGACCTCATCTCCCTAGTTCCTTGAAACTGCCATTTGGCCCCATTCCCTCCAATCTGCTAGTAAACAGTTCCTTAGCCACGGTCTTCCCCCTCCCCTCCCTGCTATCCAGTCTTCTTATCACACACATGGATCATGAGGCCTGGCAGGTTGCTTCCTCTCCCCAGTGCCTGCAGGCTCAGGATCCATCCACTCGTTGCACCCCTACAACACTTGGCAGTTCCATTTTTAAAGGGCTTGTGCCCAGGAGATCTGCATGCACTGGCAGAGAAAACAGAGGTAGCAAGGAGTTGAGAAGCCCTGGTGGGGTGCCCCTGCCGGCTACCCACAGGTCACTTTCCTGCATGGGCCCCTCGTTTTCCTTCTTTCTCCCTTCTCCAGCTGGGGTGGGACCTCAGGTCAATGTCCTCCTGAAGGAAATTGTTCTATTCTCAACAACTTATTCCTCCCAGGGAAAGGGGTCCGGCAGAAGCACATTCACTCCTCAAGAAACCTTCCCTGTCAGAGCCCCGGAGGCAGCAGCCAAGCCCACGGGCAGGGCAGAGGACACAGACCTCCCTGATTTGGTGTCACAGAGCAGAGGCACGCCTCCTCTCCCCACGGCCCTCAGGAGGAAGCTGAACTCAGAGGGTTCCAGATGGGGGCACTGCGACCCTCATCCTGCCCCAGATTTGGTTTTTGTGTTTCTGACCCCTGAAGTCAGACGGTGTGGGTGGAATGGGCCTTGATCTGGGTTCTAATCATGGCTCACCACTAACTCCTTGTGGGACTTTGGGTCAGTTCAATCGCTTTTCTTGGCCTCGGTTTCCCCTTCTGTAAAATGTAAACTTTTTGGATGATTCTTAGTTGTCCTGAGAGGTTTAATTCCAAAGGATACACTGGGTTACCCTTCGTGGAGGGAAGTGGGAATGATGGCTGGTAGCAAGGGCTTTATGCAGGTCCTGGAGAGGTGGTGCTAACCAGGTGGGAATTTTGTGTGAAAAGGTAAGTGCCAAGGTCCCCTGCACAGGGTAGAGGAAGAGGCGGAGGGCTAATGTCAAGAAAATGACCAACAGAACCTGTTCATGCACATTTGCTCCAAGGGTGCTAGGGGCTAGAACCAGACCCAGCAGGGAGAGAGCTGCACTTAGAGACAGGCAGGCACGCTCGTGACTCACCCCGGTCCCCTGGCCCCCGTCCTGGGGTCATCCAGTCTGGAGGGCCTCATCCCCTCGCCAAGGTTCTCAGGGCCGGCCCTAGAAACGAAACAGGAAGAGGTACTTGGACCCTGGTTCCCGGGGTGGGCACCCGGGCAGAGGGATCCCTGGGGATTGGCAGCGGCAGTGGGCGGGGCGGGAGGGACAGGGGCGGAGTCAACTTGTACATGTGAAAAACTCTGGCGGGGGCCGGGCTTTTTCCTTCCTCCTCCTCCTCCTTCTCCTCCTCCTCCTCCCTCCTCTTCCCTCCCCACCTTCCTCCACTCCCTCCCTTCCCCTCCCCTTCCACCTCCTCCTCCTCCTCCTCCTCGGCCAGCTCAGGTTGCAGCTTCTCTGGGGAGCCGCTCACCTTTCCGGAGCAGGGGAAGCAGCCCCACGCCCAGGCGGGGACCCCAGGAGGGCGCAGGGCTCGGCGCCCACCCCGCTGCCCCTAGGACGCGCGCGGTGAGTCCCGGGGCGCGCGGGGTCCGGCCGCGGGCGGCGCGCCGGGGAGGAAGGGGCAGGTCGGAGGAGGGGGCACCGCCGCGCCTGGTAAGCGGAGCAAAGGTAAGCGGAGCGGCTCTTAAAGGCGCAGTTCTGCTTTTGCCCTGGGGCGAGAGGTTGGAGGGAAATGCCGGAGCGACCGGGGGAGATCGGAGATCACGAGGCTCGTACTGTGTGTTTGTTGGGGGCTGGGGGATGCCCTGGAAGAGCCACTCTAAGTTCCAGGTGCTTACGAGGGAGGGCTGTTTTGCAATCTCAGACTCTCCGCCCCCCGGGGAGTCTCCACCTGGGACTCGCTTTGGCCCTTGGGTTCCCGGCTGAACCCTACAAAGCAAAGTTTTCCCACCCAGTCGCGACCCAGGCGCTTTCTAAGCGCTCTTCCTTCTGGGAAGGGTAAGGGTCAGGAGTCTCCGGGGACCAGAGGACCCGAGAGTCTGGGGGTCAGATCGTCACCTCGGAGGGCTTTCTGGGCTCTGGTGAACTTTCCAAAGCGTCAGGCAAGGGTCGGGGCAGGAGAACGTGAAAGGTCACGTGAAGCTCTGCAGGTTCCCCAGCTTGTGGGGGGGATGTCTTGGGGTGGGGGCTCTGAGGAATGCTGCCTCTTCCCTCTCTGTCCACCCCGGAAGACCAAAGAGGCACCCCCCTCCGCAAAAGGGGGACAAAGGGTTAATGTAGCTGTGGGAAAGGACAGCGGTGGCCTGTTGGGCTAAGGAGATGTGCCTTGAGGATTCTACTGTACCTGGCGGGGACAGAAATCTGAAGTCAGAAATTGGGTTTGGGCTGGAGGCCGCAGTTTTCTCCCTGCTGGGGGCAGGGGTTCTCTGGAGCTGTCTGCATACCTTGTGTTGGGTGGGAGTTGGGCTGCAGAGACAGGGAAGGATTTTCTGTGTTGCCGCGTCAACACCCTCCTAGGCACCAGTGGCCTCTTTTCATTGCTGGGAGACTTGGGGCTGTGGAGAGTGGGAGGCCTCTTCTGCTCTGTGGCTGCTGTCTCCCCATCCTCCCCACCCCCAACCCAGTTCCCCAACAGTGGCTTGGGCCCTGTGACTCACTAACACCACCAGCTTGCCCCTCCTATGTCAGCACCCTGTGAGATTCGGCATGTTTGTGTGGCATTCCCCACCAGCACATTCCTGGACACTGACCTGAGGGAGCAGAATCCTCAAGGATGCCCGACGGGCATGTCCTCAGAGATCCCCTCCCTTCAGCCTGGCCCTGGGAGGGGCCTGGGAAAATGGTGCTTAGAGTCGTCAGAGTGCTAGGCAACCCAGGCGCCAGGCTGAAGGTGTTCTAGAGGGAGGGTCACCTTGCCACAGCAAAGCTACTATCTCGGGTTACCCTGTCCCAGCCACCTCCTGTGTGGCTGATGAGCCTCTGGGACTGACTTCTCCCAACCCCCACCCTGGCAACCTAGGGTTATACTGACCATTAAGTTCCCAGGACTCTCCCCACTAACTGCCTATGCGCTACCAGGAGAATAGAAGTTGTTCTCCACTCCTGTCAGAAGACGTTCTCTCCAAACTTATTAGGGGTTCCAGAGCCAGAGTAGACTTCATTAAGTTATGTCCATTTATTGTATATCTTCTGTGTGTCAAGCAGTGTGTCACAACAACTTTATGAAGTAGGTATTATCCCCATTTGACGGATGAGGAAACTGAGATGCTGAGAAACCAATTTCTTAAGGTCACACAGATGTAGAATCCAGGCCGCTTTTGTCTGACCCCAAGTCCCTGCTGTCTACCCCTGCCCCTTTAGGGGGAAGTTCCAGCTCACTCTAGAGTTCTCTGGTTCTGCATCAGTCCTCAGGAGGAGGAAGGATGGAGGTGGTCCTCTGAGCAGGGAGGCTCCCGTTTGTCCTGTGCCAGTCAGAGCTGGACTTCTCCACTGGGCACAGGAGAGAAGACACCAAATTAGAGGAGCATATAGGTTCCTGGTCTGCAATCTCATGGCGTCGGGCTGCCATGCCTGCGAGCCCCCTCTCAGGTCTAGAGGAGATGGAGCTGCCTCTCAGGCTGCATTTGTTTCCTCCACAGACCCAGACCCTGTCCTCTGCCTCCCTGGGCCTTTCTACATCCAGCAGAACAGGCCCTTCACTGTAGGGCAGAGCCTGGCTCGGCTCTTTCCAGCTCCTACCCCAACCAAGCCTCTCCTTTCTGGGGTCAACCTGTTTGAGACTTTTGTCTAGCATCTCCATCTACCTCTCTTCTGAGTCCTTCTTTTCTTCTAGCCTCAGTTTCCTCATCTGTAAAATGGGAGTTTGGTCTTGCCTATGTGCCAGGCACTGTGCATTATTTCATCAATTCATGAATTAAATGAAATAATGCACAGTGCCTGGCACATAGGAGAGACTAAATAACTGGCAGCTATAGTGGCTGGTGATGGTTATTTGGAAAGAGCATTTCTTGTGATTGAACTGTGGCTTGCTTTGGGGTCAAGGTCAAGGCAGGCTTTCCTAACCCCATCAGGCCAAGCCCTTAGAATCTTTCCTGCTCTTCCAGGCTGGGGAGGAGGGCTCTGTATAAGAGAATGGTGGTGCTGGTAGAGGGGAGGGTTGGAAAGAAACCCGCCAGGAAGGGCCAGGAATCTGTGCTGTGCCCTGCTCTCTAGTTCCCAGGGTATGAGTGAGTGGGTACTGGGAGCTGGAGAGCCAGCAAACTCCTGCTCTGAGGAGTCTCTGGCAGGACCTTCTTTCCATGGGGGTAAGAAGACCCTCCCCTCGTACTTAATTGCAGTTCCTGTTCTGCTCTGTTGTCCATGAGGGAGTAACTGGCCGGGATCCAGACCCACCTGATTAGTTTCACCCCTTTGGGAATAAGTCACATTTTCCTCCTTGGCCCTATGTCCTGCCATAACCCCTTCTCTCTCCCACTCTGGACCTTTCACCTTGCCCTCCAGGCATTCGCTGCTGCGTGGGCACTTTCCCGTCTCCAAGGGGTGGGAACAGACCAAGGTTAGTCTTGTCCTGGCCCTACAGCTGCTTATACACAAGCACACACACACGGGTACACGCAGATGCAGAGTCCAGTCTCAGAGCTCAGGCCCAGGGTCTGGGACCCAGGGTCACTCTAGAGCTGGTGACTGGACTGGCAGGGGCTGGCCAGTGGTGCAGCAGCAGATCTGGAAGAGGAAAAGCCGTGGGCGCATCTCAGCCAGACCGCCTGTCTGAAGAAGAGCCCATCTGCTCCCCAAATCTCCACGACTGTCTGCAGAGGGGGTGGTGGGGGGAGGGAGGAAAGTGCCAGGTTTGGTTTGGAATGGAAAGGAGTCATGAAGCTCCCTGACAGCATTTTGACCCTGGTGAGACGGATCACTCTGCTCTGGGAGACATTGGTCAGAACTTTTTTTTTTGAGTTGGAATCTCATTCTGTTGCCTAGGCTGGAGTGCAGTGGCACAGTCACGGACTGTAGCCTTAACCTGATGGGCTCAGATAATCTTTCTACCTCAGCCTTCCAAGTAGCTGGAACTACAGGCATGCGCCACCATGCTTCGCTAATTTTTTATTTATTTATTGTAGAGACGAGGTCTCGCTAAGTTGCCCAGGCTGGTCTCAAACCCCTGGGCTCAGGCAGTCCATTCGCCTCTGCCTCCCAATGTGCTGGCATTACAGGCGTGAGCCACTGCGCCCGGCTTGAACAGAACTTTTGAAGGGACAATGCTGAGATCCTCTCTCCTAGAACTTGAATGGTCCCGCCTCCTTTGTCCCATTAAACGAAGTCTTCCCTAGGAATGGAGGAGTGGGGTAGACAAGATGGCCCAGTAATGGCCGGTGGATGCATCCATGCATTATTTGTGTGCTGAGTGTGCGTCTTCTGTCCACCATGGGTGGAGGCATTTTATGGGGTCAGTTCAAATCGGCTTCTGCCGCTCAATAACCTGTTGTCTTAGGTTAAATAATTGTTCACCAGGTTTTAGTTTCCTTATTTATAAAATTGGAGAATAATACTATTACCTCACGTGGTTGTGAGGATTCTGCTGAAATAATGTCCACGGTAGCTTTTTGCCTTACCTGATGTCATTACTGAGGGGTAGTGGCAAACAGAGCTAATGAGCTGCATTTGGCAGTTCTCGGTGCCTCTGGCAGCCACTTGATGTTTTTACTAAAGTCAGGATCCCTGCAGACATCAGGGCTCGGGCCCCAAGCTGGGAAGGGAACTCTCTTCTGAAAATGCTTGTACCCTTCCTCCCTCTGAACGCCCTCTCCATCTCATCATGATCAAGGGAAATATGACACAGCTCCACAATGATTTTGCCCTCACGCCTTACTTGCTTCCCTGAAGAAGTCTGCCCTTCTCTGCTTGGGAAGTCTCCTCGGGAACCAAACTTTTTTTTTTTTTTTTTCCATCGAAGTCTCACTCTGTTGCCCAGGCTGGAGTGCAGTGGCACGCTCGCGGCCAGCACAGCCTCAACTTGCTGGGCTCAGGCAATCTTTCCACCTCAGCCTTCCAAGTAGTTGGAACTACAGGCGTGCGCCACCATGCCCAGCTTATTTTTTAATTTAGTGTGGAGATGAAGTCTACCAAGTTGCCCTGAGCTCAGGCAATCCTCTCGCCTAGGCTTCCCAAAGTGCTGGAATTACAGGCTTGACTGCACCCAGCCTGGAAACAAACCTTATCTTCTCTGGCCCCAGCCACCCAGCAAAGGAGACCTTTTCAGAGTAACCAGGCCCAGGAGGGACATGGCTGTCCTTCCCAGGTCCTGGGGATCCAGCGCCTGAAAGCAGGTAGGCAGTAGGTGTTGTGTGGGATGGCATCACTCATGACAGAAGCAGTGCTGGGTCCCCAGACCAAGTCTGCCAGCAGCAAAGGAAGAGGCCAGGAAAGGGGTCACAGAGCTCCCTTATTCTGGCATGGAGCCCAGCTGGCTGTGTCCCCTGGCGTGGCTGGGCTGTGTGCCACCTTCTGTGCTGATGCCAAACATGACATGGCTCCTTCCCTATGGAAGGTGGCTCTTGAGTGGGCTG